CCGTGGCTGTGGACCCTGCTTTTAACAAAGGAATAGTAGAGATTCCTTTGATGGGTGTCAATGATTGATAGGCATCATGTCCAGCATCTTGATTACCTCTTCATAGGAGTAGGTCGTCTTCATGAATGCCTCTCGAACCTCTACGGCATTCATTTTGTCAGCAGTGCTATCACTCAAGAAAATCGCCAAGTCATTGTTCTTAAGTTGGTCCACTAGCTCCTCCTTGCCTCCACCATAGAGGACAGCATCCTCAAACATGAACTTGCTATTGTTCTTGACCAAAGATATCGCCAAGTGGACTACATCAGCAATGACATCAGTGAATTCAAAGTGGATTGCCATCTTCCTGACCATCCCATTGACATGGGTCCTCAATTTGCCKTGAGCATCTGTCTTAAGGATACCATCGTCAATCTTCTGCTCGACCGCTAGTGCATCATCTAGAGTTCTGGCCTTCACTCTGCTACCTATATAGCCAATGTTATCTCGGGTGATCAAACACTTGAAGCACCTGAAGGCGGATCGTGGCTTAAAGCATTGGTAAAGTCCAAGGACTTTGACAAGGCATGAGAGATCACTGCATAGTACCATCTTGAATCTGTATGTTCTTCCATTGTGATCAATCTTCAATCAATCAATCAATCAATCAACTTTGTTAGTTTTAAAGACATGATAACTAACACCAACATCAAACTTGCAATGACTTACCTTGCAGCCATTACTTTTAAACCTGTCAAGGTCCTGTCGTAGCATCTCCAGCTCAGCCCAGAGTGATTCATTGGTTTCACTGCCTTGGAACACAATGAATTGGTGAGTATCGAAAGGACTACACAGTACAGACATAGTCTTTCCAGTGATCAACTGATACACTCCTGTCACCTGGCTGCGCTTCCTGTTCTTGGTCATCACACATCCATCAATGGCAGCTTTGACAACATTAACCTATTGCAGACAACAACAACATTAGTAATGCATATTTAAGTAAGTATACATGATAACCTATACATACACAATCTGGATTAGGTTCATCATGATCAATGATAAGTCTCAAACATGTCTCCAATGGTACATATTGACCATTAGGTGTATTCTTTGTCTGGATATCTGAAACAAGAGCTATATCAACAGGTATGTTTAGTATTCATTTGATCAGTGTAGTGGACCAACGACACTCATTCAACTTACACTTCTTCAACTTGTTCAGCTGGCTTGGTTTGATGTCACATCGCCAAAAGTAGAGCATGAAGTCCAACTTCTCGCGTGTCAACCCTGTCCTCATCTTTAGCATCAAGACCTGCTCAACTGATGGACGCACTAAGGAATGAATATTGATTGATGTTAGGGGCGCCGCAGCTGTCAATCAATAACCTGTATGCCATTCATTACAGTTGCAATCAATCGATCACACTTACATTCCATGGGTATGCTCCTCGCACGACTGCTCATATCCAATCTCTTCTTTGCTTGGTCCATCAACTGTTGCACTCGCTCACAGCCATCACAATCATTCATCCATGCTCCATCATGGTGCAAATGGATTAGACGAATGTGCTTTGCAAGGTTGCGAGACGCAATGAAACTTTGGCAACCTTCATGAGGACATCTTTTCTTCATCCTCCTGCTATCTGTACATTGGTCATCATCGTCCGGTTGTCCTGGATCATCCTCATCTGCTTCTGCTTGTTCCGGTTCACTTTCATCATTTGTTGGTCCTGGATCCCATTCATCTGTCATAGCATTGTTCATTGGTGCATCTTCAATTTGGTTGGCCAACATCGTCCAACATTCAACTATTATACACCAACGTAATCATCTCACCAAGATGAAGCGATGCATGAACATTCAACGCCTTTAATTACCAAACTAATAATCCTTGGATCAAAGGCCAACAGTGGAGACCCGGCGCCTATCACAACACACACGTTAATCAACAATCACATCATATATGTAGTCACTTGGACGTGCTGGATTATCAATAAGGAGGACATCCAAGTTTTCAACTCTATATATAGATAGTGGATGTACCAAAAAGGGAACAAACTACTGGTCACCTCGATCGATCTTGGACCAGCACATGCTGCCCAAGAGATTACAGTCAGCCAGTGTGGACATGGCAGCAAAGCACACCTGTCACACCTATAGTATCACGATCTAGTGATCTGGAGCGACAAATTGGTATACAGGTACCAACCTAGCACGACATCGGTCAACTTGTTGGGCGACATTATTAGTGTTGCCACACATTTCCTGCTCTCAACATCTGCGATACTCTCTCCATTCCACGGACGGGAGGAGAAGTGCCAATACACAACATCTTGACCTTTCAGATTGGCGAGCGCAACCAAGACCGACAAGGACCTCTATGGCATCTTCAGCATTCCAGCCAACCCATTTGGCTGACACCAAACTTCTATAGTCTTAGCACCAACGTGAGTATCGTGGGTAAGGAATCATACCACTCTTGCACTCAATTACTCATACTAACTTGACCTTCCACTTCATCTGTAGCGAATGATCATGTTATCAACAATGATGCCACGCAGGCCAGCCAAACAAAGGAGGATAATTCGACTTGTACGATCAGAGATATTTAGACAACGCACAGTCAACTCTCTGATCCTTGTGTTCAAGACACTCAGCCAAAGAACAGGACGACGACATGGACGATGACCTCACTAACAACACAAATGAATGGTCGATCTTCAACTTCTCAAGGTCTTGACGCATCTGTTCGAAGTCCTGGTCGTCACCACCTTCGCTCATGATACTCTCAGAGTCCTTGTCTTGATCGAGGCATTCAAGAATCGGCAGCGAGCTGGTGGAAGAAGTACGAGTAGCAACGACCACTCGCAGGACCTTTGCGAGCAACCGCCATCAAGCTACCTTGTCTGTCGACGTCGGTCAACAATCGATGATCCAGTGCTGCGATCATTACTTTGCTCGTGTGTGCTGGAGATGACATCTTTAATGCAATGCAGCATTGCCAATGCTATCCTATGTTTTGTGACATTTTCAGGAACTATTTTATCTATATATATAAATATATCTTTCATCATCATCCAATCCAACTTGTAAAGATGACAACAGACTATGATATACCCTCTTTGCCTCGGCTGATCATTCACCAAATCAGTCTGAATGCCTGGAAATCACATCTACTGCGTCAGGACAAGTCATACAATTATGCTTGGAATCTATCTCTTGCTCTTGTCTCAAAGGATCTGTTCAAGTTTGTCTCCACATAGATGTGCTTCAATTTGACCAATGTGCTCGAGACTCTGTCACAAACCTCCCCGATGGCATCCAACTATCTGTCTACAACTGGATCCAAGATGACACTGAAGAGAGCCTTAACCCAAACATCAGCTATCACAAGGTCGATCATTATCCGTTAGCTTGCATGCATTCTAAATTGGTCACCAGTCTTTATCTCTCTGAGGCCATGGGCGCAATTAAACCGACCAATCTATGTCTGGAGATGCCAAGACTGCATCGATTGATAGTGGATCTGTGTCAACCCGTATGTGACTGTGGACCAGATTGTGGCACTCATCAATGCCAGCCATCTGATTGACACGCTCAAGATTGATGGACAAGATCATTTTGAAAGGGCAGTGGCCTTTGTCGATGGCATCTTCCATGGGACAAGACTCGAGTCGATGACTCTCAAACTTGCAATCACTCCGTTTGGACACCCAGAATGCACCTTGCCATTCTATCTGCACAAGTTGGCGACAATAGAAATCCAGGTTCTTCAGATTAAGAAGGCACGAGATAAA